ACTTATAGCTCTCAATAGATTAGAAAATTCTAGGGAAGCTAGAAAAACTAGATTTTCCATCAGAGATCCAAACTGCTAAGCTCAGATCGTAAAACCTGAAAAAGCAGACCAAATACACCATTAACTTCTGAAAAGGCAAAACATGGAGCAAGGGTAGCAAGGCATTACAGACTGACCATTACTCTGACCACACCTGGAAGCGAACAGGAAGAGCACAAGCTGTTTGTGCTTTGTCTTTAGAAAAGTTTGAAGAGCCCACTGCACTTGACTGAACGATGCTTCAAATCCTTCTTCTTCTTTATAAAACCAAACAGAGCACATTTTAATAGACTATGCTTGAGGCCACAAAGGCATAGATTAACATGGCCAAGTCCAAGAGAACAGAACAGCCCCTCCTGGCCAGTCAACCAGAAACATAAAACAGAAACACAGCCACAGCTTTCATCCCACCGACCAGACTCTAAACGACATGTGGATTTCCACCTGTACTGACAAAGAAACTCAGCCTCCAAACAACACACCGCAGCTGGATGCTGCAGACAACGTCGTCCAAACCACCAAACCAATCAAGATAGGTTATTATGGATTTAATAAGTAATGAAATAAGGAAGCAGAGGGGGACAGCTCCAGCTGCATTCAGCTTTAACAAACAAAAATCTCTGCACAAATACTGCTCACAAAACATTTTGTTTCCGAGGGCAGCTATACCGTCCTTACATTGCTTCAATTTGACAGAGAAAAGAATATGCCTTGTCATCATTCCACTGAATACAGCCACCATCAAAAATTACTTCTAAAGCAGTTAATAACAACCTTAAGAGTATCAGCAGAGTCCTGTAAAACACCACTTAGATTTGGCAAGTTTAAATGGCTTTGAAATAACAGGTGAATAATACATTTGGATTTGCCTCCGTGGGCAGCCAGAGCAGAGAAAATTACTGTAAGATAAATTTTTGACAAAAACTCAAGATAAACAACTCAGCTGCTTTTTGTCAAGAGTAACAGAGTGGGTGTATAAATAAAATTCAGTAAGCAGAATGTCTCTGGAGTTTAACAAGGCCTTTAGCACACCACCACACAGAAAACTCATTAACACACTAGAGAATCATGGCACAGATCAATTCAGATGAATAACAGAGATTGTAAGTGCAGACATTGCGAGTGAAGAGGGAAGTGTCATGTTAAATCCGACCGGATAGAACATGAAGAAGGGACTTGTTAGATCCTGCATTAATCAACTATCAGTGGTCCAGGGCAAAGCTGGTCCTGCTCCTTCCCTACCTGGGAAATTGCACTGGGTAGAAGAACGCTACCTCTGACAGTTCAAAATGTATAGAGCATATTTACTAAAATCTGGCCTTTCAAAGTTTACCATCCCATCTGCAATGACTCAAATACACAAAGCCTTAAATCCACCTAATGTTTAACCTTTCATAATTTGTGCAAGTCCTCCTTCTCCAAAAAATTTCTCTTGTACCATTCCATATTTGATTACTCCTCAATCTTTTCTCCTCAAAATCATTCTCTTACTGGACTTCTATTGTCTAAATGCCATTTAAAAGATTCTTTGTTCAACGTGTTTTACAGCAGTCACATTTATTAAGAACTGCAATAAAAATGACAACTCAATCATCCAGATTTGTTGTGAAGGACAGTAGTAGTTGTCATAGCCACCCAAAGTCACAGACAGACAGACACATAATGGATACAACTTTGTTAAATGTATTATTCTTAACTGTTTGCACACTTTCAGTCATCAATGTTCTTTATTTGTTTCTCTTCGTTAGATTCCTGTGGACTCTCCCTTGAATCTGTCAAAGCTGACTGAAATATCTCACGTACCTGCTTTATCAAGCAAGTACTGAATAAGTATCCTGGATATTAACATGCTAATAGAGGAGTATCACAGATATTCCTTGCATGCCTGCTGCCTTTTGACATGGGAGAACAGTTTAATTAAGTAGCTTCCACTTACGGCTTACACTTCCACTCGTGTTAACACCAAAATTCAGGGTAGTCAATATTCTTCCCCTATGAGCCTCTCCCCGTAATCGTCACACAATTGAGGCCCACAGGGCACGTGCTCCTTCCCTCAGAGAGCTAACGGAGGATAGAGCTCTAGGAGAAACAGCAATGACAACAGCAGCATTTCCTACTGGTGTTCGGCAAGGCTGAGCCAGGCTGGCAGCAAGGGCGACCCGCGCGCTGGGCCCTGCGCTCGCTCCCACGCCCAGGGGCACAGACAGTTCAAAAGCCCTGACAGCAGAATTTCCCTGCCAGCCCCCTCGACCCAGGAGCCACGTGAACTATTCACAAGCTGCATGCGCACAGATGGCTGACCTGTGTTTTGAATGCCTACTATGGCAATATTTGCCAAAATTCAAACCAGCAGGTCTTAATGCACGGTCAATGGCTCAGAAATCTAGACTACAGATCTATACTACTTTCGACAGCAACATTACATTCTTTCTCTTACATCTGTGCAATATTATATAAATATATATATAATTTAATAAGAACACAAACAATAAAAAGTGCAGACCTCCAGAAACATGACATAGCAACAGGAGAGTCATGGATCAACATCTGCTAGAAAGAAAATTAAGAACGCTTTTAGGTAAATGTTTTTTTAATGCATCTATAAAAATATGGTGTATTGCTGCTCTTGAATAAACAGGGGAATCTAACAGAAGCTAGTGGGATCTGAGGGTGCCATTGATGTTTAAGAACTTTTTCTTAAAGGCATTTTTGTCCCTAAATATCTTTTTTCACAAGTGAAACAATTTTTGGTTAAATTTCCTATTTAAGGTAAATATATTCAGAAAGCTTTTTAACTGCGACCAAAAACATTCTTGACCATTCACTTTATTTGTTTCTTTAGCTATCATCTATTTAACTTGTTCTCTTCATAGGCGCAGTTTTCCCAAATTCACTTTTTCCAAATACTTCTTTCTTTTATGTATTTCCTACTAGCACTGTCCTTTAAAAAAAGGCAAACTAACTAAAGAAATAATAGCCACTAGACTGCAACTGTATCAGTGAGCTGTTTTGCATTCCTAGTCTGTTGAATACAGTTAAACGTTTCTTTACAATGATCTGAGATAGCTTTCTCTGTGCAGATGAAGGCAAACTTCAGTCAAAACCTTATCAGTACACATAAAATATTGCCCACTATTCAGCATTACATTCATGCAGCCCTATTCTTGCTTGTTATTAGCAACTCAGCAAACTGTAAAAGAGGAAAGGGAAAAATAAAATAACAGCAATCCTGCATTACTGCACCTTCCTTGAGGAATACGCTCCCCCTAGCACTTGCATAAATGTAATCCCAATCAATAACCTAGTAATTAAATTCACCAGCATTTTGGCCCGATTACAAGCCTCCTTATCTGAAAAAAACATTTCTTGCTCTACTTTTTCAACTGTCTTGGAAAGAGAACGAGAATCATTCGGCCACCCCTTTGTCCTTAACTCCTGAATTAGCTATTGCTGTAATGTCAGGGAAAATCGTTTTGTTTTTCTCTGCAGACATAGCATCATTTTATCCATGTGTATTGCTTATTCCTTTCTCATTTTGCCAGTTTATCAATAAGCCATAAATTCTGATTTTGTTAATATCCCAGTAATACATCTGGGGGTTCTAAAGCTGCTGGGAATTTTTTGTTGAGGGTTTTTTGTTTTAACTTCCAGTAATAAAAACCAAAGAAACTGAAATGCTAAGGACAGGAAAACACTGGTAAGCAAATGACTGAGTGTGACCAACAATCAATTATCTGCACTGCTCAGCTACCAGAATTTATCAAGGGTGAAATCCTGCCTCCATTAAAGTCAATGGCAGTTTTGTCATTGACTTCAATAGAGCTAGAATTTCACTCTAGACTAAATACTCTATGTGAGTAAATTGAAGAAACTTGTATAGAAGGCATCACAAGCTTAGATTAGAACTTCATTTCTGAAGGAAACTAAAAGACATACCTTAACTAAGTATTAAAATCCAGCTTCAGAATATTCTAGATCATTTACTTTTCAAAAGGTTAAGCAAAGAATGAGCTTCAAAAACATACATTTGAACATACATTCGAACATACATTCGAGTACATTCGTGTACTCCAGGGAAAGCTACCACTTGCATGACTTCGAACACTGCTCTCTCCAGTATCTGACGATGAGGGGCCACATCCCGCTCTGAACCCAGAAGGAACTCCTCTCAGATCAAGGACACATCTGTCTCTCTAGCCTGGCATTTCTATAGCCTTTGCTATCAAAGTATCTCAGCGTGACACTAAGGGAATATTATTGCATCAACATTTTGCTATGAAAATCAAAAGCCCCCCAAAAAACTCTCACTCTCTCCCAAGTAACAAATAAAAATTAACATGAAGCAAGTACTGCTCATTGCCACGCTACAGTACGGTACTGGTATAATCTGCTGACAAACAGCAAACTACTTGTGCGTGTTCACCTAGAACCTCTGCCCAAAGGGAAGAGCTTTAACCAGCATTTTGCCATGCCAACAGGTGGACATAACGCATATATGCGGTCTCTTCCTTGTCCGTACTTAGCTGAATTTGGGGAGGACATGACTGCCAGCCAAGTATGTCAAAGCAGCTGTCTGTCCTGAGCGTATGCACCCATGATTAAAAAGAGATGACTCTGCTAATCCAGCCCCCATTTAGGAAGAAGTATTAATATTTTGACAACAGCAACACCACGAATAAGCTTCCGGGACCACACAGAATAGTCAGTCTGGGATGTTTCATCAGGTAGAGATGATTCATTGCAGAAAACCTGCTCCGTGACCTTTTGTGAGCTTCCGAGCACAGGCTGAGGCCAGTGCTGTCAATTGACAGGCTGTCAATTTTTTAAGGAGAGAAGTATAATAAACTAGTGCTTATCATGACCTTTTAACAAGCGGTAGGCGTTCACTGTAAGCAGGGCAGGAAACTGGATTGACACGTACACCCAGCGCTTAGGAAACCCACCGCGGTGCCTGCTCTTACCAGCCCGCTCCGGCTAACACGGAGAGAGGCGCTGAGGCTCGCTGCAAGCGCCCGCACGCCGGGAAGAGACACGAGAGGGCTCCGCACTGCACCGGCAACCCTGGGCCGGCCCGAGCCGCCGCCTCGGGCCCCGGCCCCCAAACCTCCTGCCGCCGTGAGCGTGCCGCCAACGGC